CGCGTTTAGCGATCATCCTGCAGAGCTAAAAACAATAACAAACTACAGATGTGAAATATTAACAGGTTGGTATGTTATACCAATATATTTTTATGAAAAACGTGGCAAACAACGGCAATCTCACTCCTAAAAAAAAAACACCACTAAACAAAACACCCACCTTCCTTAAAACAAAATCTGCTGAATGTCTAAAAGCTCTATTCACTCAATCCACAGAGATTTTCGTCCACGCAATCCACTCTCCTCCTACGATTATATGGTTTAACCTAAATACACAACATCAACTGTCCCCCAGTAGACGCTCGTAGTATCATTACCACTAAGACACGTAAATATATAGCCAGAATGACAGTGATATCGACTGCACACAGTGATTGACAACATATAATATGTCAAAAAAAGAAACAAAATGTTACACTTGCTCATATAGTCCGCAAACCCCACTGACTCTCACACACTAATTGACAAAACACTACAGGCCAATACCGATCACAATCCCTTATATAGGACCGTCTTTCTCTGGAAATATGCCTCCACACTCAATAAATTTCGGGCTCTAAAACTCTTTCAACAAACACTATTACATATACAAAAACACTATCTTTGCAACACAAAACCACAATCCCAACCACATCCTTATGCGGAAGTCCTATCTCTCTCGCAACAATTGCAATGCCATATACATGGACCAAACAGGCCGTTTAAAATTCACACAGAGGAATCTCTCTCTTTTTACAATATCTCTATTTATTTATCAAAATAAAAAAGGTATCTACTTCACCAACAATCCAATTAATAATTTGGACATTTATTGAAAATGGAAAGCAGATACGATCTACACAGTCATAAACAGGGAACGTATTTCTATGTAAATACATACTTACTAAATAAGCTAATATAGATACTAATTTGCATTATCTTTGTTTCACAATGTGTAGAAATGAAAATTGCTACTTCTATTTTTCATATTCTGGGTTTCGAAATATATTTCAATACAAGTCCACATGTTTTCCATATTTCTTATACAATCAGTCTGTGTAGCACATTAAGCTTAAGCTTTCATTAAATATTAATAATGCACCTCAACAAAAAGAGCTTAAAAAGATTCAGTAATTCCTAAAACATTAGAATTTTCTGAAAATTGGGGAGAATTGACAATAGGGAAGTAAGATAAGAAACTCTTAATGTTTTAATTTATGTGCGAAGAATGGATCCACTCTCAGGCCCTGAGGTCCTGTCTAAGGGGTCTGAGTGTCCCGCGTGATGAAGAGCGGCATGAAGAGGTGATGAACTATTGGATTTGTTCGACAGATGACCTCGAGGCCTTGATGGTCTGTGGGAAATGCCCATTTCAGAAACCACACTATCCTTTCTCCTCCCCACTGAGCCGGCTCCCCGGAAATCGCATGACATCGCAGAGACTTCGACATCAGAATTTAACTTGCACAGCTCCTCGTTGTCAGTTACAATCTCGTCAGAATACTATATGTTGGTTCAGTTCTAAACATCTCTCTATTAAGCCAGTGTAAGATGTCAAAAGTAGCTCAATCAGCCAATGTAAATTACAAGTTACATTGCAGAATTTAAAGATGAAGGTTTATCAACTGACAATATTCTTTTACCAATGCCATTTATCTTGTGAAGTCCATATTAAACTCCATATTTTGATAAAAGTAACTACATATATATTTACATGTTTCATATATTTACATATTTCATATATTTTTAGTCCACATAAATCCATTCCCTGGTCATAAATGTCTTTTTGTAAATATATACCAATAAAGAGTTCAAAGAGTGCACACAGAAAACAAACAAATGAAATATTAACTTAAAATTTCTTATAAGACTAGTATGAAATTAATTTAATGAAATGAAGCCTTTAAGGAAGAATACAAAATTTCAAATAATTAAAATTGGATTAAATATTTTTCATTGCATTCATTTTTCAACATTTTTGCCCCACTTGAACTACATTAAGCCTATATAATATAATGATCACAGATATAAGAATTATACTATATATTATAAAATAAAATCTCACAATTGAATGCAGAAGATTTGTCCCATCCCTATTGTTCTTTGGAAATGGAGTGCGCTCCCATTTGGCAGCCAAATGCCTTGCACCATAAATGGAGTCTGTATTAGACCAATGTTGAAAAGCTTCTTCACCATCAAAAAAGATGAACTTCAAACTCAATGTATTCTGCAACAGCAACAATATTTTTATGACATTTAGTATACTACAATTTACACACTTTTTTTTTTTATCTTTGTTTATACACAAACCTCGTTTCTGATGGTATCAAGGAGATCGCTCATAGTATACGCTAAATTTATCATCATTGCACAAGGCACTGCTGAATCTGTTGCTCCAATAAAGTCATCCTCTCGGAAATACTTGGAATCATAATGACAGGCCAGCACTAAATATCGCTTAGCTTTTGGATTTAAGGTGGCAATAATATTCTCAAACTGAAGTGTACCAAATAGTGGAGTGTCAGTTCTAAAACGGTCACTAGTAACTTGCCATTTCAGACTTTTCATGGCATTTTTAATTCTCTAAATAATAAAAAGAAAACAATTAAAGTTTACAAGGAAAACATGATAAAAATCAAATTAGTCTACAAAAAAAACTTTTCACATGTCAAATGCTTTTGTTCAGGGAAAAAGAACACAGGATACTTACATCTTGAACAATTTTATGATTTGGAGTCCCAACAACTCTTGGTATCAATATACCATCCAAGGTATCTTGGAAATGGGTCATATTGGAACGCTGAGCCAGAGATGACATATCACCATTGCTCAAAGTTTTAGCCACATGGTTCTTCTAATGTAACATTAGAACATAACATATTAGTTATAAAACTAAAGAGGCGGAAGTCTAACAATGGGTCTAAAATTACTCGCCTGTTGATCTCGAAAGCCAAGACCTTCGTTTGGTCTTATTTCGCAAATAAATACCGAAACAGCAATTAAAAAACTTAGCCACATTGTCAATGAATTCAGAACAATATGTTTCACAAATGTTGAAATATGTAGTTATCGTTATAGAATCTTGTCATAAAAACTGTTAATTTTGATAATTAAGCTCAGAGATCACGCGTTAACAGATAAACTAAGTAGCATAGTTTCACAAAATACTCATAATAAGGAGCTATGAAGACGTCCGGGTGCAACGTTCCATCTGCAAACATACGGAAAAAGAAATACTCCCACGCGACTCCCCGCCTACCCAGACTCTCGCCTGACAGGTTGACATTGAATGAAATCCTGGAACGTTCACTCACACAAATACAAAGCACGCGTGCGCAAGCCTATCACCACCTCAGAGTTACTAATTTTTTCCTGGCAAGTTGGCCACTACAAAAGACAGAGGATTCTGAAGGCCCACGATGAGATTTTTAAATCAAAAAACTAGCTTTCGAAGCTTTAAACTGATTTTATTTACATTGCACTTCAATATTTTAAGCATAATGTTGAAATTTTAAGACTGAAAGAGCCGAATATATGAAATGGGTCACCAGCGCACCACCTGAAAACGTTGGCAATGCTGCAAGCCACTTCCCGGTTTGCCTGAAATAACCTCCAGTGAGTACAGTGGGAAGTGAACAGGTATATGAAGTATTTACAGTGTAATCCATATTGTTAGTGAAAGTTCATATGCCTGACATAACAAGTACACGAATATAGACCCAATTGGAATCTGCTAGAAGAACGGTATTCTGAATGCGCCTTTTCTCATTAAAAATGACTAAACACTGTCAGTAAACCCTTCATTCTTTAATTTAAATAGTATAAATCTCGAAAATGATAATTCAAAATAATAAATGCAAAGCAATATAGAAATATAAACCCCAATTTGCATAAAAGGATAACTCAAATAAACATTAAACGATAAACGTTTGTAAACAAAACACAATTTTCTGTTGTTAATTATAACCATTAGTGTCAATAAGGGGGGGGGGGCACATAGGTAGGCTAAGCCGTCTTTTGAATCATTTCTGGCCTAATAAGAAAACATCAGATGTGTATCTCTTTTCCTCGGCTTTGAGTCCCGTTGCTCTGATTATACCCAACTGTTCCCAAAGGTTTTCGCCCAGTAAGCACGCAGCATATTTACATGCACTAATATTGAATCTGAAATGAGCTTTCTATTTGGGGGTACTAACAAGTTCACAGAACAAAAATGAATTACTACACAGTTCTATTATTTTTTTAAGAATAATGTTTTTGAGTTTTGTTTCTAGTCCATTGGCCGCGAATCAGATCAGTTCCCCCTAATATGACTCCAATAATTATTTGATATCGCTTTCAAAATATGACTTTAATAAAACTCAACTTATTTTCCACCACGTATTTCATTTTCAGAAATCATCTTAAATCGTACTTCAACAATAAACAAATCCGCTAATGAGTCCACTCAACTTCTAATTGGGCCAAAAAAGGAATAAAGTCTATGAAAAGTTAAATGAATAAAATTCTGCCAGATAATGGACATAAAAAATTATAATAAATGGTTGTTCTAAAAATGATTAAGAAGTATTTTGCTCACTTCATTGTAAAAATGAAGACTGTATCTGAAGCGACGGTGACTCCTAAGATTCTGGTCGCCAATACGGTTTAGAAACAGTGTAATTTGCTTCATCATTACACTAAAATGAGGCAATAGATTTCACCACGATTTCGTTTCCTGTTGGTTTCACATTCTGACCACAAAAACGCAATCTTTCGTTTCAGTTTTCTACAATTCTGTACAAAGTCGTGTCTGCAATTATGAAGCAGACTAGAGTTCTTTCTGCAAAGCAATTCGGTAGCACATCGAAAAGGAAACTTCCGGCAATGGCGATAGCTCTAGAAATCTTCTCTTAGCATTCACTTACTATAAACTTTCGAGTATTAATGAACATATTTTTCTAATAGTTCTGTGATCTGATACTTGTCTTCATAGATACAATTTTAAAATATGTGATTATTTATTTTAATGTTTGTTTGCTTCATATTAACAACGTATTATATAAATTCCTTGTCAAGGTCACAAAGTGAAAGCCGAAATGTTCGTGTTAGTCTAAAACGCTCTGATGGCCAACACAGTGGATCAGTGTCAGCAATCTCTAATATTGTTAGAAATGCGTTTGATAACTCACCAAATAATAACATAAAGCAATATAAATGTATTTTGCCCACAAGCAAATAACTAAATATATCATTTCATAGAGATTTATTCACAATAGTTCCAACCGCTGTGTCTGAACCTCTCTGCGACAAATTCTTTCCAGTGTTCACAATAATTGCGGTAAATAAAACGGAAACAGGAGTTCGCTTTATATATTGAAAGTATTTGTGTACCGTAAGTAATTACATGTGTGGCTGGAGAAAGTACATGACTGAGAACTGCTGGGGGCTCGAATCACTGAGTCACGACGTAGCAATTCATTCTCGCGCATAGAAACGTTCACTGCGGAACATGTTCTAGACACGGTGTAATACATTTTTTTAAATGTTTTTATAATATATATATATATATATAAAGCGGTGTAGAGCTAAACGTTATTTCCCACCTTATTTTTTTTTAGATATATTATAGTTATATGTTATGATTTCTAGCCGAAAGTCGTCGAAAAGTGCTTAGGTAAAAGAAGCTGGCGTTAACAGATGTAATAAAATTATCTTAAGGAGAATCTTATATTCATTACGCTTATCTGATCCCCAAGGTTCTTTTCTAAGTCAAAACTGGTGAACTAAGAGCTAGGATGTCCTAGGGTTCCATTTCCGACAGTGACGGATTTTCGAGCTTCATAGCTAGATGAGACTCTAGTTGTACGGGTGTTAGTCACTCATTTATTTTGAACAACTATTATTCGTTCCTTGAGAACATATTTTGGTTTGATTGAGACATTGAATACGAGTACCCCAAATAGTATCTATTAGATCACTAATGCGTAATGAAGCTTCCTGTGACTGTGCGCTAATCAAATTCCGCATCGTTGTTGATGGACTTTGGAAAAACACATTTACTAATTAATTAAATTCACAGTTACCGTATATTCTAGCAATAATAATAATTACTGACTAGTTGGACCTGTGCGAATATCTCCATTTAAGAAACATAGTTCCAAAATGTGAAAATAACTTTGGATCACAGCTTCGAACGGCCTCCCCCTTGAATTTAAAACATGATAGGCCCGTTCTGGGGGGCTTACTGAAATGTCGATTTAATTTTAAATTGATTTCGTGTGATTAGCTAGGATATAAGAGATATCAATCACACAGTTCAATAAAAATATATTTAATATTATAAATAAATAACTAGACTCATGTTATGAAAATAATACTATCTTCAGACGTACTACAGAGAAGAAATATGAAATAAAATTTATCAACATATGAAATAAAATTAACCTTTTCTAACCATTGTACTTTCTTTGTTTACGGAGTACGATGCGAGAAAGTATTATAATCGTGGCGCCAAAAAGGCGACTTTTCGATAGAAAAACTCTTATAGTCAGGCCCTGATAACAAAAAATTGAATAATCCCATTCCTTTATATAATAAATTACTTCTTTAAAACGTTGTGTAGTCAGAATCCATTTTCGTGGTTTGAAAGTGAAAATTTTGCGTGAAATTTTAGGTAATTTAAAAAAAAAAAATTCTCAAAAAACGGCTCCAATTTTTTTTTCTTTAAATTTCTCGTTGCATTATGTATCCAAACTGTTTTCTTGGTATCTAAAAAATGTGGCGCTAATCTAATCGATGGTCCTACCGATGAATTGAGATGTTGGAATAGTTACAGTACCCAGAAGAGCAATCACCAAAAATTGAATAGAAAGAGCCTAAAATACTTTTTTGCAAAATATAGCTTTCTTCAATAAAGAACAACTTTTTACAACATTGTTCTAAACGTGAAATAGCTTTACACGGAACAACAGCTTCCAGCGTTACGGAAATCTGTTTAAGGGACTGAGGAAACCTTCTAAAAACGGAAATAGATGTCCAAATTGTTCATTACATAAACTACGACAATAAAAAAATAGAGACATGAAAACGTGGATTAAGGTCTTTGAACACACCGTTTCCAAGTTGGTAAAATTTCAACTTTGCAGAATCATGCGTTTTGCGGTTTGCGCCTGGCCTGATTGCAAATACGACGTAATCTGGGAACTTCTGTTTTTTGCGTCTCCACTCCGATGCACTCATAAGGGGTTCATTATCTTTGTCTTGCAATTCACTTTCGGTTTTTGTGCGATGTTTTTCTGATAAATGATCAACACCATATCTTTCTTTAGAGGCGTATTCGTAAACATGGACGCCCGAGTACTCAATAGCTTTCTGTGAAGCGGTCCAGGGTTCGATTCAACCCGGGGCAAAAGTGAGAGGGCATGAGTCATACTTACTAAAGTAATCGTCTCAGCTTCTATAAAGATGTATGACGAAAGAAAAAGCCCCAAGAAGGCCAATAAGCTAGGTACGTGACGATAATACGTCATGATCGTCACGTATCTTGCATAAACTCTTACACCGAAAGAATAATAAAAATAGGGCCCAAGCCCGTGAACATCGCTAGCTGGAAAAAGTCGGATCCTAAAATTCCAAATTCATACTTATATGAACAAAGGGGATTGTAACCATATGATGTTTTATCAATACTACGCTCACTGTAGTATTTTAGAAAGAGGAAATGCCTTACAACTGAATATGTAATTTTCACTGCTACCTATCCAAATCCATTAAAATGAGAATATGATTTTAAAAAGAAAAACTTAAAAATTGTTATTTTGATTTTTTTGATAACAAAATTGCAAATATTCTCGCATTTTAATGACATTACATACCATTTCAGCTTCCCTTCTTTCTCGAAAAGTCTGTTAGGCTGCTTTCATGTAATACGTGTTTAATTGTTATCGGCTCTACGAGTACTGTCTTGCTAAGATTCTCTTCCTCCAATCGTAACTAACCACCTTACTCACGGACATCTCGGTTTCTGGGAACAGCATAGCGTTCTTTTTTTAGTGAGATTCTCTAAGAGTGAAAGCAAGGGCTACAATCTATTCTTTATTTAGTTCGCAATACCTGGCCAAGAAGAAGATAACTGACAGCGAGCACTTTTTTGAACTTTGAAATGTGACGAAGGGCTGGGAAGAGAAATGAGTAACACTGATCATGTCATTGGATTTATGAACCTAAAAATAATTTTAAAAAACGAATCGTGTAATACCTTCATATATATTCATACAACAGTTCATTTGATAATAATTGAATCCAATAAAAATAAAAGGAAAGCTTCCAATCTTCCTATATCCTTTGCATATTTATGTGTTTTATTCCTTTGTACTACACTTGTTTGTATAACAGTTTA